AACAGTTCAACAAGTGTCTTGAAATAGGGTCTTAAGAACTTTAGGAACAGCAAGTAGTTGGGACACTTGTTGAAAACAGGTCTCATTTCCTCTCACAACAGCATGCATATAAGCTCATATTACGACTGTAGTTTCTGTGCAGTTTACATGCAATTTATATGCAGTGTATTCTATGAAATTATGAAATGTTATATGCAAACTACAATACTACACATACATTCAACAGAAGTGCGGCCAAAAGCCAAAAACCAAGTGAAACCAAAGCCAAAAAAAACAACACAAACCAAAAACCAAAAGCCAAGAGTCAAGTGAAGCCAAAGCCAAAAGCCAAAAGCCAAAAGCCAAAAGCCAAAAGCCAAAAGCCAAAAGCCAAAAGCCAAAAGCCAAAAGCCAAATGGGCATGCAAAGTGGCTCCAAACTGCATCAAATAGCACGCAAATCAGAGATTTTGGCTCCAAAATGCAGCAAATACAAGCCAGAAGCCAGAAACCGAAGGAGCCAGAAGCCAAAAGCCAAAAGCCAGAAGCCAAAAGCCAGAAGCCAAAAGCCAGAAACCCCCCCAAAAAAATGCCCCCACCCCCAAAAAATGCCAAAAAACATACCCCTCCTTAATCCGGGGTCAACATTATATATATATAATATAAATAATTATATATATATATATATATATCGCATTACATGCCTTTGTTAAAAACACCAGTATCTTCATTTCTACTGCGTTCATTTCCACTGTCACTGCTGCCCTGCCATTCGGCAGCATCCAGGACCAATACGGGCTCCTCATCGCCCGCATAAGCCACATCTGCCAGCTTGGCATATCTCAGGAGGTCCTGAAACAGGGCCACATCGCCTTCCAAATCCGTCATGCCGCAGGCACGGAGCATCGCCTGCCCCTTCTTCCAGTCTTCAGTTCTCAGCTCATTTTGTTCTGAGACCTCCAGGTGACCAGGTAGCGCGCCACAATGTGTGTTGTGGGGAAATGCTATGTACATCTATGTACTATTTTGCGAATCCACAGTATGAGGACCACCCAAGCCGCTGGGGCAACCAAAATCTCATTCAGTCTTGCTGACAGGTGTCAATATCAACAAAGCCACTGCGTCAAGATTGTGTTTTGAAACATTTTCTTGCTAAAACCATTTAGTTTGAGAGAACACGAGGACACGACAACTTTCCACGTTTAAACCATTGGGTTCAAAATAACATCAACTTCAGAGCTGGTGGAACTGACCATCTCGCCTTGAAGAACACGGCCATGGGGTCGATGGTGCTCAGCTTGAGATGACCAAAATAGGAAGATAGGACCTTCCCCCGAAGATGCCCGAAGTTGCTTTGGGAAGTACCGACCAAAGCAATGGAGGTAACAAGGAAAAAACATACATTCATGTTACATGTTTCAGTCATTTTTCAGTTCTCAAAAATGACATGTCTGGCGGAGATTCTCTCAATATGTATTTTGCACTCTTTTCACGGGTGAAAGGGAAGGCCACCGAAGAAAAAATCCTGCAACTCCATCAGCACTACAGTAATCGCTGGCACCTTCAACACAATCATTCCTGCCTCATTCACTTGCTCCAGCACCAATCGCCCCGTTTCAATTTCTTGAATCATGCCAGGCATGTAGCGTTCCACAGCCATGCGGAACATTTTGGTGCCCTCAGTTTCCTCACACTTGGTTGGCTTCGTCAGCACCAGGGCGCCTGCCAAGCCTACCACGCCAGAAATCTGACGGCCTGGTGGTTGCCATGACCGCAGCCCCAGGCGACTCAGGCGGCCCAGGGTGGCACGGCTCAAGGCTTTCATGGTGCCCCAGCTGCAGCCAGCTATGGTGGCTTGAGTCCCAGGGCAGCAGAGATAACAAGCTGAGGGTCGCTTGAAGACTTATCAGAAAAACGTCAAAGATGCCGTGTGTTTGTAGGAAAATGTGGTTTAGACATGTTTAGACCAGTCGCAAACCCCTCCCAGATTCGCAGTCCCACCTTCTCAAACAACTCTGAAGACATCTCACGAAGATATTTCTCCTGCCGTGCTGAGGTGCACTGCCAGAGAAGCATGCTGGGGGCCGTGGAGGTCCAAACATTGAAAGGGTGATCGCGATCGAGGCCATTGACTACGCCAGGTCTTGGCAATATCTGCTTTTCAGCATCGGTGAACATGAAATGTCTGCTGATTCAATTCACTCCAGTTCCTTCTTCAACAACTTCCCATGCACTTTGCAACACACGAAACCTGCCTTGTTGTTCATCCTTGTTCTCCCACAACTGGTTCACTAGATACTGGAAAGTCTACAAGAGAACTTAAATCCGCCGACCCTGCCTTAGCCAAGGCAGGGGCGGCGCCTGGGACCACCGCAGGTGTGGAACTTTTTTTCGTTCCCAATGCTTTGCGCTTTCCACGAGCCACCCAGGCCATAGCACCCTCTGTTCACCGCCCAGGAGCCACTCAGGCCACAGCACTTTCTGTGCACTTCCCACGAGCCACTCATGCCACAGCAATCTCTGTTTCTACGGCGTTCCAAAACGCAACAGGCCGCGGCAGACCTTTCCTGCAGCTCCAACAAGTCCCTGAGGCCCTGGCAGTGTCCTTTTAAGGAGGTTCAAGGCTGCCGTTTGCCAGCCCGCAAAACTCCCCAAACCCTCCCCTGCAGCTCCCGGGCGCCACTCAGGCCGCGGCAGACCTTTCCTGCAGCTCCAACAAGTCCCTGAGGCCCTGGCAGTGTCCTTTTAAGGACGTTCAAGGCTGCCGTTTGCCAGCCCGCAAACCTTCCAAACCCTCCCCTGCAGCTCCCAGGCGCCACTCAGGCCGCGGCAGACCTTTCCTGCAGCTCCAACAAGTCCCTGAGGCCCTGGCAGTGTCCTTTTAAGGACGTTCAAGGCTGCCGTTTGCCAGCCCGCAAAACTCGCCAAACCCTCCCCTGCAGCTCCCAGGCGCCACTCAGGCCGCGAGCCACCCAGGCCATAGCACCCTCTGTTCACCGCCCAGGAGCCACTCAGGCCACAGCAATTTCTGTGCACTTCCCACGAGCCACTCATGCCACAGCAATCTCTGTTTCTACGGCGTTCCAAAACGCAACAGGCCGCGGCAGACCTTTCCTGCAGCTCCAACAAGTCCCTGAGGCCCTGGCAGTGTCCTTTTAAGGAGGTTCAAGGCTGCCGTTTGCCAGCCCGCAAAACTCGCCAAACCCTCCCCTGCAGCTCCCAGGCGCCACTCAGGCCGCGGCAGACCTTTCCTGCAGCTCCAACAAGTCCCTGAGGCCCTGGCAGTGTCCTTTTAAGGACGTTCAAGGCTGCCGTTTGCCAGCCTGCAAAACTCGCCAAACCCTCCCCTGCAGCTCCCAGGCGCCACTCAGGCCGCGGCAGACCTTTCCTGCAGCTCTAACAAGTCCCTGAGGCCGTGGCAGCGTCTTTTTATGGACGTTTCAAGGCTGGGCTGCCGTTTGCCAGCCCGCAAAACTCCCCAAACCCTCCCCTGCAGCTCCCAGGCGCCACTCAGGCCGCGGCAGACCTTTCCTGCAGCTCCAACAAGTCCCTGAGGCCCTGGCAGTGTCCTTTTAAGGACGTTCAAGGCTGCCGTTTGCCAGCCCGCAAAACTCGCCAAACCCTCCCCTGCAGCTCCCAGGCGCCACTCAGGCCGCGGCAGACCTTTCCTGCAGCTCCAACAAGTCGCTGAGGCCCTGGCAGCGTCTTTTTATGGACGTTCAAGGCTGCCGTTTGCCAGCCCGCAAAACTCCCCAAACCCTCCCCTGCAGCTCCCAGGCGCCACTCAGGCCGCGGCAAACCTTTCCTGCAGCTCCAACAAGTCCCTGAGGCCCTGGCAGTGTCCTTTTAAGGACGTTCAAGGCTGCCGTTTGCCAGCCCGCAAAACTCGCCAAACCCTCCCCTGCAGCTCCCAGGCGCCACTCAGGCCGCGGCAGACCTTTCCTGCAGCTCTCACAAGTGCCTGAGGCCGTGGCAGTGTCTTTTTATGGACGTTCAAGGCTGCCGTTTGCCAGCCCTCAAAACTCCCCAAACCCTTCCCTGCAGCTCCCAGGCGCCACTCAGGCCGCGGCAGACCTTTCCTGCAGCTCCAACAACTCCCTGAGGCCGTGGCAGTGTCCTTTTAAGGAGGTTCAGGGCTGCCGTTTGCCAGCCTTCAAAACTCGCCAAAAAAAAACCCCCCCCTGCACTCCAGGCGCCACTCCAGGCCCTGGCAGCGTCTTTTTATGGACGTTCAAGGCTGCTGTTTGCCAGCCCGCAAAACTCCCCAAACCCTCCCCTGCTGCCAACTCAGGCCGCGGCAGACCTTTCCTGCAGCTCCAACAAGTTCCTGAGGCCCTGGCAGTGTCCTTTTAAGGATGTTCAAGGCTGCCGTTTGCCAGCCCGCAAAACTCGCCAAACGCTCCCCTGCAGCTCCCAGGCGCCACTCAGGCCGCGGCAGACCCTTTTCCCCTCAGCTCTCACAAGAGTCCCTGAGGCCGTGGCAGCGTCTTTTATGGACCGTTCAAGGCTTCCGTTTGCCAGCGCCCGCAAAACTCGCCAAACCCTCCCCTGCAGCTCCTAGGCGCCACTCAGGCCGCGGCAGACCTTTCCTGAAGCTCCAACAAGTCCCTGAGGCCCTGGCAGTGGGTTTCCTTTTGGAACGTTCAAGGCTGCCGTTTGGCCATCCCGCAAACACTCCTCAACCCTCCCCTGCAGCTCCCAGGCGCCAACTCAGGGGCCGCGGCAGACCTTTCCTGCAGCTCTAACAAGTCCCTGAGGCCGTGGCAGCGTCTTTTTATGGACGTTCAAGGCTGGGCTGCCGTTTGCCAGCCCGCAAACTCCCCAAACCCTCCCCTGCAGCTCCCAGGCGCCACTCAGGCCGCGGCAGACCTTTCCTGCAGCTCCAACAAGTCCCTGAGGCCCTGGCAGTGTCCTTTTAAGGACGTTCAAGGCTGCCGTTTGCCAGCCCGCAAAACTCGCCAAACCTTCCCCTGCAGCTCCCAGGCGCCACTCAGGCCGCGGCAGACTATTCCTGCAGCTCTAACAAGTCCCTGAGGCCGTGGCAGCGTCTTTTTAAGGACGTTTCACAAAAAGGCTGCTCCAAAACCCTCCCTGCGCGTCCCAGGCGCCCATCAGCAGCGGCAGACCTTTTCCTGCAAGCTCCAACAATCCCTGGGCCGTGGCATGTGTCCTTTTAAGGGGAGGTTCAAGGCTGCCGTTTGCCGCCTTCACAACTCCCCAAACCCTCCCCTGCAGCTCCCAGTCGCCACTCAGGCCGTCGGCAGACCTTTCCTTCCTGCAGCTCCCAAGTCCCTGCGGCCGTTGGCAGCTCTTTTTTATGGACTTTCAAGGCTGCCGTTTGCCATCCTCAAAACTCCCCAGCCCTCCCCTGCCGCTCCCAGGCGCACTCAGGCCGCGGCAGACCTTTCCTGCAGCTCCAACAAGTCCCTGAGGCGCTGGCAGTGTCCTTTTAAGGACGTTCAAGGCTGCCGTTTGCCAGCCCGCAAAACTCCCCAAACCCTCCCCTGCAGCTCCCAGGCGCCACTCAGGCCGCGGCAGACCTTTCCTGCAGCTCTAACAAGTCCCTGAGGCCGTGGCCGTGGTCGCTTTTCAGATCTTTTAAGGAGGTTCAGGCCTGCCGTTCTGCCAGCCTTTCAAACTCCCTCAAACCCTCACCCTGCCAGCTCCCAGCGCCAACTGCAGGGCCGCGCAGACCTTTCCTCCCTGCATCTCCAACAAAGTCCCCTGAGGCCCTGGCGTGTTTCCTTTTAAAAAATTTACGGAGGTCCCAGGCTGCCGTTTGCCAGCCTTCAAAACTCGCCAAAACTCGACAAACCCTCCCCTGCAGCTCCCAGGCGCCACTTAGGCCGCGGCAGACCTTTCCTGCAGCTCCAACAAGTCCCTGAGGCCCTGGCAGTGTCCTTTTAAGGAGGTTCAAGGCTGCCGTTTGCCAGCCCTCAAAACTCCCCAAGCCCTCCCCTGCAGCTCCCAGGCGCCACTCAGGCCGCGGCAGACCTTTCCTGCAGCTCCAACAAGTCCCTGAGGCCGTGGCAGTGTCCTTTTAAGGAGGTTCAAGGCTGCCGTTTGCCAGCCTTCAAAACTCCTCAAACCCTCCCCTGCAGCTCCCAGGCGCCACTTAGGCCGCGGCAGACCTTTCCTGCAGCTCCAACAAGTCCCTGAGGCCCTGGCAGTGTCCTTTTAAGGAGATTCAAGGCTGCCGTTTGCCCGTCCGCAAAACTCCCCAAACCCTCCCCTGCAGCTCCCAGGCGCCACTTAGGCCGCGGCAGACCTTTCCTGCAGCTCCAACAAGTCCCTGAGGCCCTGGCAGTGTCCTTTTAAGGAGGCTCTTATTTCTTTTTTGTTTTCGTTGTCTTTTTCTCGGGAACGTGCCACTGCTTGTTGTGACATGGTTTTCCCGAACGCGCCGTTTCGTACTTCGTTTTGTAGACTCTGCAGCCATATATCTTGGGTACGCTCGCACTCGACCAGTTCTGTCACGCCATGGATGCCGTCCGGGGTTTCGCCCCAGACTAACTCCTGCCCGCGGATGGTATGGGCTACTTTCTTCGTTTTGCATTGCATCAACCATTCCCATGGGACATCTCCCAAAAAGGTTCCACGTGGCGGTGGCAGCTGCCACATATCACCTGCCAGAATAACGTTTAACCCTCCAAAGGGACGAGCATATGCCGCATCCTTTGCATCTCTCTCTCTCTCTCTCTCTCTACCGGACCACCCCCATAAGGGGGGTCGGCGGCACCAGGGCGCTAGCCCATTCTATTCTACCAATAAACAGTTCCAGCCCCGTTCGCTGCTCTCAATCTGCCGTTCACCTTGGCTCCCAAGTTGACTCGCTCAGCCATCTGGTTCTTGTGACGGCAGCGCTCATTCCTAACCTTGGAGGCAGACCGCAAAATTGGTCATTCACCAAATAGGCTCTCCACGCACAGAAAAAGATCCTTGAGATTCCTTGAGATTTATAATCATCTTTCCATGTGTTTCCCACTATGTTCCGATATGTTCCGATTTTTCTATATTTTTCTCCCATAGTCATAGAAAAATTGCGAAAAACGGGCCCCATGTAATCCATGTGTAGCCTATGCATACCCTATGCCGCCTATGCCTCCAATCTGGCACTTGTGGCACATCATGGCCTATTGAAGTCACTATTGGGACTCCCGGGCATCATGCCATTGCAGGTCCACCGAGGTGTACCAAAACTCCTGGGGTTTGGATGGTGACCCGTCCTTACCTCTCGAGATGATTTAGATTCCCATCCATACAAAAACATGGTAAAACAAAACTGGTGATGGTTTAGACTCAGACCTGGAGCTTACCCCAAAACGTTTGATGATGTCTGTGAGGCTGCTTCTAAGCTCAAGTCATTAGCACATCATTCACTTTCTTTGAAGCCCTTTGAACTATGGCAACTATGGGAAGAGATCAGAAAACCAGTCTGTTTCGAGGCCTGAAAGCCTGCAAGTCTGTTCGCTTTGCGGACACCTTGAAGGTGGGGTTCTGCTACTCGATCTACATCTAGTAGAAGGTTGCGAAGATCAAACTACCAGCCTTGCACAACCAATATATTATACAATGCTTAAACCAGCTAGGGATGGTTTCTACCATCCGTTTAATTGGCAAAATTGGATGATGTATTTTTGGGTTTAAAACATTGGTAGTCCTGACTGGAACATGCAGTACTGCTTCCAGCTGCTCATACGGTCCCCCACTGAATCCTTGGGCATGAACTCAGGATCTCTCTTCGCAGCGGATGGTCCGTTGGTGGTGCTGAGCGCAGCAGAGATGGTAGCGGGCTGAAACAGCCAAAGTCACGGGCAAAGCAGATCGTTGTAAGTCGAAGTCTTACGGTAACATCTGCATATCGCTCATTGTTTTCAAACCAAAATCTCAAGTTTTTGTGCAAGTTGTTTCCTTCAATTCTGGGACAGCACTGCTCTTTCTTCCTGCATTCATTCATAAAAGAAACATCACCATAGTATGGCTAATATAGATAATATTAATATAGATTAATATGAATCTTATATCATATAGAGTATCTTGTAGAGCACCAGTATGCACCAGTTATCAATGTCATTCTATGTCATTCTATGTCGGTCTATGTCATTCTATGTCGTTCTACACCATCCCACAAGAACTACGAAACATCACTGCTCTCCCTGCCTGCCCGGAAGCACAGCCTGATTCCCCGCCATCAGTTTCTTCTTTTGCTCCCCAGCACTGGCAGGTGACGTGACGAATTATGCGCATTTATGGCACAAAAAACGGGTCGTTCCCAAAATGAGGAAACACATCAACATGACAAGTTCTAGTAGGGAAAATTCGGTAAGCCATGGGAATTTAGGTATGTCCCATTTTTGGGACTAGACCAATGATTGTTCGGTATATGAAACCGTCCAAACATCTGAGGGTCAATCTATTTCTTCGGCGAAAAATGCTGAAAACAACCTAATTTGGGTCTAGGAACTTACATTTTCCAACAGGCTCCTTTCATCCATTTCCCCAAGTTTCCCTCCAGCGCGCGCCTTGGTAGGTTCATGCTCTCGGGCACATGCACCTGCTTCACATATTTGAAGGTCTCCTTCAGATTCGCCAGCATCTCCTGGCAGATCTCAGTAGACCTGACCCAAAAGTCTGACATTCTGCATGATCCATTGGATACTTCTTGATATTCTAGATGAACAGGATGAACATTTAACATGTGCTTCAAAATGCTTCATACATGTTCATACATTCTTCATAGGTTCTTTAATCTTGATGGACCAGGTGGATATAGGTGGATGTTCCCGTTCCTCCCGGGGCCGTCCTTCTGGGCCTTGGTGGAGTAAACCGACTTGTCCACGCCGCCAAAGATGTCCGAGGTCATGTGAACCATCCTCCTCTCCCTGACGGGACGACATCGGGCATCGCGGTACAGCTGGGGATGCAACAGATCTCAAGATTTTGCCCAAAAGCACCTGGGCAAAATATTGGCATATTTTGGCTAACATTGCTTGACACTAAAATGATCCAAATATATGATAATATATGCAAATCTCTGTTCTACTGGGCCTTGAATTTTAATACAGAACCAGTTGACACGCTCTTTCGGAACACAAAGAATTATGACAATGAAACCGCACCCACAGCCAAATCCCAGGTGGTTTTGCATTCAAAGTGCGGTTTAAAATGCTTCACACAGATTTTTTACTGTTTTCTGATGTTCCCATTTTTTTTAGCATAGAGAATGGTATTTGGTGTTTGTTTTTGGGGGTTCTGTTCCCACCTGGCACTCAGCTCCCGTTCTCCCACCACCGCCATGGCAGCAGTCGGTGATCAAGATCCAAAGTTCCAAACCATGGGACAGCACATGACAGCACCAATGGCAACGGATGGAAACGGATGGACGCTTGCAAATGTTGAAACTGGCAATACTTTTGACTTGACAACCTATCAAAATGTGACTGATATGACTCTGATCGTTTTTTCCGAACCTTCCGAATTATCGACGATATCTTCCATTTGATTTCTGTTCCTCTTGATCCAGACCGACAGCAAGGTAATGTGATTCCCATCAATGAACCTCACCTTTGACACGACAGTATTCCACTGGCCATGTTTCAGCCACCTTCCCCACACGTTGTGCATTATGCATGTCCCAGAGATGGACCACTTTTTTGCACCCATAACTCGCACGGCCAAGCCAAGGCCAGCGAATATTTCTGATTTTCGTCGCGATTTTTACGCGACCCGCCGGGGTGAACGGTGTGGTTCAACTCATCCCACAGCGTGACTCAGCGTGGCAAAATGTTCCCATGTTGGATGACATGTTGGAACACGTGGAACCTCTTGAGGTTATTGATCTCCATGCTGCGGTGTTGGTGTTTGAAGATTTTTTTCTGGTTCCGATGGTTCCAAGAATTTGCTTTGGACTCTAGTTTCAATCTGTGTTTCCAAGTGGTATAGTATCGAGGACTGGAGTTGGTTAAGCTGCTCAGATCGCTCCGATATTGGCCTTGGTGCAGAAGCGTTCCAAGATGCGTTCAAGTTATGCTCATGAAAACAGTAAAATCAATCAAACATATCCAAAACAACGTATACTTCCAAGTGTCTAAAAGTGTTTGACATCCAGCATTGGTTTATAGGAATATCAGAATGGTTTCAGATTGGACGCCAAAATGCCAAAAACATGCTGAATTTGAGAATAAAAAATGACCAGTCAATCTGTGGTCCCCGTGGTTGGGTTGTAAACTTTCGAGGCTGGCCATGAACATCAAAATAGCTGGTTGTCATGGATATTCATCCCATAAAAGATAAGGACATTGTAGCTTGTGACCCATCCTAAACTGCAGGTCAAATGAAATCATAGTCGAATCATGTCACCATTTAAGTGTTGGGTTCTCTCCCCAGCTTTGGTGGTTTTCCAGAATTCTACGGGAGAATATACTGGAAACCTGTATACATAAGCAAAAATCAAGGTGTTTCTTGGGGTTATCCATGCAATCCATCCATCGATACGCGTTTTATCCCCACAAAACCAAATGATATCCCTTGATATCCCTGGATATCCCCATGAAAACCAATACAAGAGTTTTCCGATGTTCCCGTAAATTTGACGCCATACCCATATCATCCCATATCTAATCTCCAGCACACCAACTGCTTCCCCTCAGCGCCCTGCTAATCTGGTTTGCCGAGCAGGCACTGGGTCTGCATGGGTCAATCAAGAGCACTAGCGGATCTTGGGGAGTTGAACGGAAACTGTATGTTGGCACAGCGCCTCGCCACATTTGTTCATCATGGTTCATCAACCTTTCGGATATTTAATGTGATCCATTTTCAACGACCGTCATCGCAGCATCACCATGCATCACCCCTCCCATTAGCTCCGGTATGGGTCCAAGTTGGGGTACAAATGGAGCTATCTCCACCATCTTCCAGGGTTTTGACATGTGACCAAGGAAAACCCACCAGTGATCCATGAAAAAACCTGATTTTTTTGTACGTCATACCGTCATACTCCAGGGATCTCCAGGTCCAACTTCCCGATCCCATCCACAGCCTAGGACTCACCTCTTCCGCCCTCGCGATCGGCTGCCACTCTTCCGACGGCGCCGCGATCGGCTGCTGCTGGTCCGCTTCCTACAGTTGTGGGGTACCCGAAAATTGATGGTTTATAATGGCATATCCCAAATACATGGATTTGGGGGTACTGCCATTTTAAGGGAACCTCCATGTTGGTAAAACCAATGGTAAACCATGATAAACCTGCCATCAAAAACCACAAATTTGTAGTATTTGGGTTTATTGTTTTGGATTTACCACATTAATTATAATGATGGGGACCGTGATCAACATTAATGGTAATGATGGAGATCACATTCTCATTCATTATCTTTATATGATTTTATATGTCAGCAATATCAACAAACTTGATGAAAATAATGATGGAAATAACGATTAATAATATATAAACACATATATGTTTCCCACGGCTGCCAAATTTGACCACTCGTCCTGTTGTATTTTTTCCGAAAGAAAATCAACCAATATATAGAAGTCCATTTGTCTGGCGCAAAAACATCCAAAAGATTGAATTCCCGCAAATTCAAAGAATTGGATCATTTCTGTGTATTTACAATACGCTAGAAACCCAGTGCCACATCCAGACCGAATGTCACCCACCTTCTGCGTCGGCTTCTATCGCGGCTTCTGCTTCTTTCTTTTCCTCTGGCGACTCTGGCGTTGGACAAAGTCTCAGATCTCGTGCTGGTGCCAAATTTGCGGATAATAAAGCAATCGAACGCAAAGTGACTGGACTATTATAAAGCATCCCTGCCAGTGCACCCTCTGACTGATTGAGTATTGCAAAATCTCTTGATTGATATTGGTCGATCATGATTTTTACATATTTTTACCATTACTTAAAATATTGCAACATTATGAACAATTGTTGTTTTCAGTGGGTTTTCGTGGACAAATCCAACATTTTTGAAGCACTGCGAAACAAAACCACCCCGAACGCACCTCGTTCTCGATCCCGTTGCTGTGCTCTGGCGCGCTCGCGCTCCAGAAACAGATCACGGCCTCGGAAGAAAATGGCACACAGAGGCTGGGTGTGTATGGGCAGTAGCAAATCTAGAGGGTTGGAACTAGTTGACATCTGATTGTACCTGGTTGCATCCTGGTTCACACATAGGGGTGAAACCATCATTTATCCACCAATCTTTGTCACGATCTAAATCTGTCTAAATGATTCTAAATGATTCATCATCATTGCAACACTTTGTCCATCTTGAGCCTAGAGTTGTGTGTTTCCGTTCTTGCGCCACCAACATGGCAATGGGAAAAATGAAAAACGCCCCAAGGATCCAATCGCGAAATCCGCTACGCTCCAAGTCAGCCATCAGCTAGCAAAAAACCGGTATTGTACCCATCCCAGGATATCCCAGGTAAAAGTCAAGCCATTGGGACCCCAAAACACAATGTGAACAATGTGAGGTTGGGTACCTACCAAAAATAATTTCACCAGAGATTTTAAGGCCGCCTTGGGTCTGAAATGGCTTGACATGGCTTGACCCATGCCTATCTCTATCCCTTAGCATGCCCAAGGCGGTGACTCGTGACTTCGAGATTCCTCTCAGTTGCAGAGGGAGGGGCCCCTCGACCTCTGCCCTTGCCCTGCATGAACTGCGCCTGGAGAATGGAGCAGAATTCATTTCAATGGCTGGTAAATTATGCAAGCGACCTAAAAGAACTTTGAAGTGGCCAAGAGGCAAACCCTCGAACGCGGGCAAGGAAGTTTCGAGAGGGCGAGAAGGCTATAAAAATAAAGGAAAACCATAGGAACGATGCCTGACCGCACTGGCTGTCACGGCCGTTGACCGCGTCAGCTCTTGAAATTTTTTTTGCTTTCACATTTCTTTTTTTTCGGCATCTTGTCTGATGATATCACTTTCTCTTGATCCGGCTTGCTCCTGGCATCTCTGACTCTTGACAGACCTTCCGGTTGCTTGCTGCTTGTCTGGACGCCTTTTTCTCCCTGGCTTTTCTTTTCTAATTTCGTCTTCTGATGATGCCACTTTCTCAATATTTCTGGTTTGCGCTTGTAATCTCTGAATCTTGACGGGCCCTTTCTTGTTGACAGCTCTGGAACCTGGGACCTGACGCGCTTTCTCTCCTGACAAACTTCTTTCCCTACTCTCTTCACTCCCCTTGTCTCTTCCCTTCCCTAATTACTCTCGTCGCTTCCCCAATTTCTTCACATCCCTACTCTCGTCACCTCCCTACTCTTGTCACTTTCCGTACTCTCCTCTCTTGCCTACTACTCGCTTCAATTCCCGACTCCGTGCACATCCCCACTGACTTCATGTCCCCAACCTCTTGACTTCCCTAGTCTTTTCACGTCCCTAACATGTCTCTATTTTTTTACTCTTCAGTTCCCTATTCTCGTCAGTTCTCTATTTTTTGTTCGCTCTTCACCTATGAATCTCTTCACTTCCCTCTCTCCTCACTTTACATAAGCCTGAAGCAACCACAAACCTGAAGACACAAACCTGAAGCAACCATATTACAGTGCGATCTGCACACCTGAATTCTGCTTTACAATGTATGACGCACCCGACCGCAAGCCGCACCCGTCGCACAGACAAGGATCTCCACATCGCCGCCTGGAGTCACTTTATGCGAGAAAACAGAAGGCCTCATGCGATTTCTACCCTCCAAGCATCACCTTGACGAAACAATTCCACTTCGATCTGCGGTCAAAAACCTTAATGGCTCTTCACATCTATACTCTCTGCACTTCTCTACTCTCTTCACATCTCTACCCCCTTCACATCTCTACTCTCTTCACATCTCTACTCTCTGCACTTCTCTACTCTCTTCACATCTATACTCTCTACACATCTCTACTCTCTTCACATCTAAACTCTCTGCACTTCTCTACTCTCTTCACATCTATACTCTCTACACATCTCTACTCTCTTCACATCTATACTCTCTGCACTTCTCTACTCTCTTCACATCTCTACCCTCTTCACATCTGTACTCTCTTCACATCTCTACTCCCTTCACATCTATAGTCTCTGCACTTCTCTTCTCTCTTCACATCTATACTCTCTTCACATCTCTACTCTCTTCACATCTATACTCTCTCCACTTCTCTACTCTCTGCACATCTCTACCCTCTTCGCATCTCTACTTTCTTCACATCTCTACTCTCTGCACTTCTCTACTCTCTTCACATCCCTACTCTTTTCACATCTATACTCCCTTCACATCTCTACTCTCTTCACATCTATACTCTCTGCACATCTCTACCCTCTTCACATCTCTACTCTCTTCACATCTCTACTCTCTTCACGTCTCTACTCTCTTCACATCTCTACTCTCTTCACATCTATACTCTCTGCACTTCTCTACTCTCTTCACATCTCTACCCTCTTCAAATCTCTACTCTCTTCACATCTCTACTCTCTGCTCTTCTCTACTCTCTTCACATCCCTACTCTCTTCACATCTCTACTGTCTTCACATCTATACTCTCTGCACCTCTCTACCCTCTTTACATCTCTACTCTCTTCACATCTCTAATCTCTGCACTTCTCTACTCTCTTCACATCTATACTCTCTTCACATCTCTACTCTCTTCACATCTATACTCTCTGCACTTCTCTACTCTCTTCACATCTCTACCCTCTTCACATCCCTACTCTCTTCACACCTATACTCTCTCCACTTCTCTACTCTCTGCGCATCTCTACCCTCTTCACATCTCTACTCTCTTCACATCTCTACTCTCTGCAGTTCTCTATTCTCTTCACATCTATACTTTCTTCACATCTCTACTCTCTTCACATCTATACTCTCTGCACTTCTCTGATCTCTTCACGTCCCTACCCTCTTCACATCCCTACTCTCTTCACATCTATACTCTCTTCACATCTCTACTCTCTTCACATCTGTACTCTCTTCACATCTCTACTCCCTTCACATCTATAGTCTCTGCACTTCTCTTCTCTCTTCACATCTATACTCTCTTCACATCTCTACTCTCTTCACATCTATACTCTCTGCACTTCTCTACTCTCTGCACTTTTCTCCTCTCTGCACTTCTCTCCTCTCTGCACATCTCTACTCTCTTCACATCTCTACTCTCTGCGCATCTCTACCCTCTTCACATCTCTACTCTCTTCACATCTCTACCCTCTTCACGTCCCTACTCTCTTCACATCTCTACTCTCTTCACATCTCTACTCTTTTCACATCTCTACTCTCTTCACATCTTTACGCTCGTCACATCTATAGTCTCTGCACTTCTCTACTCTCTCCACATCTCTACCCTCTTCGCATCCCTACACTCTTCACATCTATACTCTCTGCACTTCTCCACTCTCTTCACATCTATACTCTCTTCACATCTCTACTCTCTTCACATCTATACTCTCTGCACTTCTCTACTCTCTTCACATCTCTGCCCTCTGCACTTCTCTACTCTCTTCAAACCTATACTCTCTTCACATCTCTACTCTCTTCACATCTATACGCTCTGCACTTCTCTACTCTCTTCACATCTCTACCCTCTTCACATCTCTACTCTCTTCACATCTATACTCTCTTCACATCTCTACTCTTTTCACATCTCTACTCTCTTCACATCGCTACTCTCTTCACATCTATAGTCTTTGCACTTCTCTACTCTCTCCACATCTCTACCCTCTTCGCATCCCTACACTCTTCACATCTATACTCTCTGCACTTCTCTACTCTCTTCACATCTATACTCTCTGCACTTCTCTACTCTCTTCACATCTATACTCTCTGCACTTCTCTACTCTCTTCACATCTCTACCCTCTTCACATCCCTACTCTCTTCACATCTCTACTCTCTCCACTTCTCTACTCTCTGCGCATCTCTACCCTCTTGACATCTCTACTCTCTTCACATCTCTACCCTCTTCACATCTCTACTCTCTTCACATCTCTACTCTCTTCTCTTCACATCTCTACTCTCTTCACATCTCTACTCTCTGCACTTCTCTCCTCTCTGCACATCGCTACTCTCTTCACATCTATACTCTCTGCACTTCTCTACTCTCTTCACATCTCTACCCTCTTCACATCTCTACTCTCTTCACATCTCTACTCTCTTCACATCTCTAACCTCTTCACATCTCTACCCTCTTCACATCTCTACCCTCTTCACGTCCCTACTCTCTTCACATCTCTACTCTCTTCACATCTCTACTCTCTTCACATCTATAGTCTCTGCACTTCTCTACTCTCTTCACATCTCTACCCTCTTCGCATCCCTACACTCTTCACATCTATACTCTCTTCAAATCTCTACTCTTTTCACATCTCTACTCTCTTCACATCGCTACTCTCTTCACATCTATAGTCTTTGCACTTCTCTACTCTCTCCACATCTCTACCCTCTTCGCATCCCTACACTCTTCACATCTATACTCTCTGCACTTCTCTACTCTCTTCACATCTATACTCTCTGCACTTCTCTACTCTCTTCACATCTATACTCTCTGCACTTCTCTACTCTCTTCACATCTCTACCCTCTTCACATCCCTACTCTCTTCACATCTCTACTCTCTCCACTTCTCTACTCTCTGCGCATCTCTACCCTCTTCACATCTCTACTCTCTTCACATCTCTACCCTCTTCACATCTCTACTCTCTTCACATCTCTACTCTCTTCACATCTCTACTCTCTGCACTTTTCTCCTCTCTGCACTTCTCTCCTCTCTGCACATCTCTACTCTCTTCACATCTATACTCTCTGCACTTCTCTACTCTCTTCACATCTCTACCCTCTTCACATCTCTACTCTCTTCACATCTCTACTCTCTTCACATCTCTAACCTCTTCACATCTCTACCCTCTTCACATCTCTACCCTCTTCACGTCCCTACTCTCTTCACATCTCTACTCTCTTCACATCTCTACTCTCTTCACATCTATAGTCTCTGCACTTCTCTACTCTCTTCACATCTCTACCCTCTTCGCATCCCTACACTCTTCACATCTATACTCTCTTCAAATCTCTACTCTTTTCACATCTCTACATCTCTACTCTCTTCACATCGCTACTCTCTTCACATCTATAGTCTTTGCACTTCTCTACTCTCTCCACATCTCTACCCTCTTCGCATCCCTACACTCTTCACATCTATACTCTCTGCACTTCTCTACTCTCTTCACATCTCTACCCTCTTCACATCCCTACTCTCTTCACATCTCTACTCTCTCCACTTCTCTACTCTCTGCGCATCTCTACCCTCTTCACATCTCTACTCTCTTCACATCTATACTCTCTCTTCACATCTATACTCTCTTCACATCCCTACTCTCTTCACATCTCTACTCTCTTCACATCTCTACTCTCTTCACATCTCTACCCTCTTCACATCTATACTCTCTTCACATCTCTGCTCACATCTCTACCCTCTTCACATCTATACTCTCTTCACACCTCTACCCTCTTGACATCCCTACTCTCTTCACGTCTCTACTCTCTTCACATCTCTACTCTCTGCACATCTATACCCTCTGCACTTCTCTACTCTCTTCACATCTCTACCCTCTTCACATCCCTACTCTCTTCACATGTCTACTCTCTCCACATCTCTACTCTCTTCACAATTTCACCTCTACTATCTTCGCATGTTCATCTCTACTCACATTTTCAATAAGCCGTAACACGGAGTTTAGACATCTAAACTTCCTTTGATTAAATTATTCATGCCTCCTTGTAGATGTTCGACTCAGTGACATTAATCAGCACCAGGGACCCAAATCAAAAAGACGCCGCTTGGGGCCACCCCTGTGGGATATCGTGCTCCAGACATGTTTTGAATATTCCAAACCTTCTCGTGGTGTTCACACTACATCAATCCATTGATCTTCCTAGAGGCCCCTGCCTTCAGCAGCATGCCATCTATCACAACTTGCCCTGCATTGATGGCATCCAGGGCCCTGCAGTTCGAGGTTTGGTACTATCGTTCAGCGGGATTCGGCAAAAAGTGCTTTGTGTCTAATGCGGTAGCAGCAGCAGTGGCAATGAGAAAGTGAACAGATGTGATCACATGTGAACGGTATGAAACTGAATGGCAAATTCCATTCATTTTCTTGTCTACCTGCATGTTTTGGCAGCATCTGCCTCTGAGCAGCTTCAGGGGTTGAAAAGCGAACCTGCAAGAATCAACGACCAGATTTGGGATGGGGCGAAAATTGGGGACCCTTATTCTGATGACCGCAAATTCTTAGCACAGCTAGTCTTAGCACAGCTGGCGATTTTTGGGATGTGAAACCTTCCATTTTGGGGTCAAAACAGGCGCACCTTGGGCGGCTCCTCTTCCGGATTTTGCCGGTCGCCCATGTGCACCAAGTCAACCTGTGGCGCCGGCTCGGTTATTTTTGGTCACAACTATAAGATCCATGGATGACCACTTGGACGTAGTAAGGGACGAAGTTGGTATGCGGGTCCCAACCTTGATGAGTTTCCGTTAGCAAATGGAATCAGAATGATGAATAAACCCCAGATTCACACATATTTAAAGACGAGAGAAACCCGAGACAAACAAACATACACACACACACACACGCACCTTATAGGCCCTACGCAACATTTCCTGGAACCACCGGGTTTCGGGATACCTGACTTCAGAAGTTTGGCTACACTGCTTTCAAATCTCAAAAGCGGCTGCGGCAGGCAAGAGCACCCCAATGCAGTAATCACAAAGGGAGACAAAACTTCAGATCCAGCGGTGAAGAACGAAAGGTAGGCTGTGTGTCAAGCAAACTGTGCAGTAAATAAGGCCCCTAAAACGGACGCAAAATGTTGTCCACAAGAGTAAAATAAGATAAAGCAAACTCAGGACACATGAAACAAGATTCGGAGACGAGGCGGCAGGCAGGCAAAAACACCTTAAAGCAGCGATCATGGAGGGAGACAAGACTGGGAAACAAGGCAGCAGCAGCACCTTTGCGAGGAAACCAATATCGAAATCATCAACTGACTCATTGAGAAGTGAGAGTTTCTATTGCAAAAAGTTTCTGCGGAGTAAGCATATGCAAATGAGTGTAGATAAATCATCGCAGCATCAAATATGCATATATATAATAGTAAATAAAAATAATATAATAATAACAAAAAATATAATAATAATAGCAAAACTGGGTGCGCTATAGAATGGCTATGTTTGGCTACATCCATATATGTTACAAATATGGATGTAGCCAAAGGTAGCTGTTCAGCTTCCACCGGCACACCTTTGAGGAGGCCCATAAAGTGAGTGACACAAGGCTACCTTTGGCTGCAAACTTTGGATTCATTTAAAAATGAAGGTTGGACAAAGTGAAAATGAAATGAAATGAAATGAAACGAAACGAAACGAAACGAAATGAAATGAGATGGATTCATAGATGAATGGATGCATGAATGAATGGACGGACAAAACGCAACGATGCAAGCAGAGTGAAACAACTCCCACCCCCCAACGCGACCACACAGCCCAAAACAGAAGCTGCAACACAGTCGGCCTCCCATCTCCCTGGAACAGCCCATCGGACCACATGGCCAAAAGCCACAGGTACGACCTGCATCGCCAACCCCGCCCCCTCCCAGCGTGTCTTCGTACCATAGCCACAGGCCGGATTTACAATCCACAACCTCATGACCTGGCCACAGGGGATGCTGTACCTGCCCACAGGACAAATAATGTCAACACCGGATTAATGAACCGCCCCTCCCTAGAAGGTCACATGGTACCTTGTCAAACCTTTCCTGTTTCACCCCTTAATAATAAGCAACCTTGCACATTGAATCCCATTGGATTTGATAAGATTTGATTGTTAAAATAGCATGGATCCAAAAAGATTCCATTGGATTTGATGAGATCTCATGGATCCCACAAGATTCCATTGGATTTGATGAACTTTGATTGTTAAAAATCTGGTTCAATCACATTGCAAACCTCTTACCGGTTCCATGTGACAAGCTTCGCGCAATCCAGCGGGCTTCAAAGTGAAACAAAACTCATGGCCATGCCTCAAGCCTGGCCAAGCCTAGGTGAGCTGCCCAAAGTTGCGCTCATTCAGTGGCCCCTACCTCGGTCGGTGCAAGGCAAAAAAAAAACTTCTGTAACAGCGACCCGTCTTGACTATGTTTTTACTTAAGACCCCCATCAACTCACACTAGACCCAACAAGTTGTTCAACACAGACATGCTGGACTTGAGGGTGCAGCATGCGGATTTGAAGATCGAAGAGGATGCAGCACCGATTGCGCCTGGAACATGATGGGCAAACAGCGGTAAACATGGCCAAGGGTTCGGCTTCCATATGGGGATGTCTCAGAATAGGGGTGCCACAACTGAGTGCCCCAAGCCACCCTATTTTGAGCTTGGGGCACTCCTATTTTGAGACATTCCCATATTTTGGTGTGCAGGTTTTGTCAAAACCTGGAAGAAAAAAAACTGACGTTGCCAGCTTCTTGTCCCCACTCAATGTTTCCAATATGGATACTTCCAGGGGCGCCCGATGTTTCTAATCCCTGCCTTCTGCCCAAAATGCGATACATCATCAAGATGGCGTTCTTCTCGTCCATGATGGTCTCGCAAACATCAATGACAGTGAACGCCAATGTAAGCTCGAATCGAAGGTGGGCAACGTATCATCACAAGTAGCTGGCTGGTGGGCAACGTATCATCACAATGTAAACCCGCCTTGAAAGCTTAGCTGACAATCACATCGAAGTTGCTGTTTGCAGCGGCGTCCTGTCCTGCAAGGGGTGTTGATAATACAACATTGGCTCCAATAAATATATCACTGCAGGTATCCATCGAACATGGGCAAAGAAAACAAACGGAACCACTCAAGATCAACATTCCATGAGCCTTGGCTCTACTTGCACAACTCGACCGCTAGAAAGGCTCGTGGCTTGCCAGTGGATGCTGCCATGATTCATGGCTGTCCTTGAAATGCTGGATTTCGAACCCATGACAATTGCTGCCAGGGTGGCGACATGCAAGCCCACAAGCTTGATCGAACTGTGCTTTCAACAGGACCACTTGAGAAGCAAACTCAGAAGAAACTTTCCTCACCATCTAAAATTGCTCACAATCAAAATCAAAACTTGGAAGCACCATTCTTTTTCAGAGTTGGTGAACGTCGGGATGCAACACCAGGCCCTGACCAAACTGCTGTCTGACATTTTCAAGGAACCTGTCACTCGCCATCATGCTACACAATGCCTGCCAATTCTGAATTTCGGCATGTCAAAGTGGCCGCCTGTCAGGCAAATAAGTTTCAAATCTGAAGCGGCCAAGAAGCGTTTAGAAACGCAAGCCGTCACATCAAGCTAGCATCGTACGACGCAGCACTTTGAAATCCCACAGTTAACAGAATTTAATGAAGGTGGTCTACAAAGCAAGGCAATATATCTTAGCATCTCACCCAAAAATTAGATCCATCAGTCAGATTGCATCTGCATACGATGCAGGAGCTCAAAGCCTAAGGATCCACCGGCTGGCACTACAATGTTGCCAAGGCAACGCATTCGGTCACGGTAACTGTCCTCAAGACTGTCTGTCAACCAGTATCGTATGGGTAGCTTGTTCCACTCATTCCACCCAGGCTGCAGGAATGTGGCCAGACGCTGCAAGGGGATGTCCTGTAAGAAAAAAGCCGCGCACAAAAAAACAAAGCGACTCTGTAAATGCCATTCATTGCACATGTGCGGCTCATGTCCTTCCACGCTGTAAAGGAATCAGAATGCGCCAAGAAGAAGACTCGGCCTCGGTTGGCATCAGTAGTCAACGGCATGGGCTTTTGCATCATCTACAACCCATTTGCTCACCAGCTCCCGGCTGGCAAGCCAACTTGGTAGAAGCTGATAGTGGCCCAATGGAGCTTCAAGTTGCGTTTGTCGGCTCCCTGACACATTCAAACGGAAAATTGCAAATTTCAAGCAACTCCCGGATTTCAAGGGAACCTAAGACCCTAGTGGTTGGTCATAATGTGTCCAATTCTTCACGATGTAATGGACCACCTCTCGCATCTTCATGCTCCTTTGCATCAGGCTGAGAACATTCGAGGAAAATGCCTGGGCCATGGACAAAAAATTAAAAAAATGCAGAACCGACTGGAATTGAAATTTTCTGCCCATTGGTCTGAGTTGCCCCTTGGCAAGGGTGTCAAACACGCGGAACACGTGCTTGACCAATGAAGATCTGGCACCTGCCATCCCCTCCTGGTTGCCAGCCTGGGAGATGTCCTGGACAGAGCTGGGGTACAGAATTTGGATTCCATTTTTACCCGGATGGGAAAAACATCGCCCAAGCCTGGCATGGAAAACCACCACCGGCACCAACGGCACCAGTGGTGGATCCATCAAAGGTTTCCAGGTTCGAATGGATCTCTGCCCTGTGCAGCAACTTGTGGCTCATTCGTAAGCGCAAGATCGACTTGCAGAAATCATTGCGTTCAACCTGTCTGCATTTGCCAAGAGAATGTGTCAAATATCTAACTTGAAGGCTCAAAACTCAGGCTGCCACCATCGCACTGGGAAACATCCATCTTAGCCAGACACATCCACCACAATCACTTGTTTATTAATCCCAACCTGGACTGGCAAACATGCAAACTGCCTTAAAAACAACAATGCAAGAAAGGGAAGCAGCACGAAACAGACGATGCAGTTCAGACTGTTTTGCCTATTTATCGCTGTCCGCTCGCAGTCTCTTGCTTGGCAACTTGGCGTGTGAATCAGCCTGGCTGGGCCATGGTTGGATTCACATGGTTCGTTGGCATGAAGGTTTGACAAGGATTGGTCAGAATAAACTTGAATTTTAGTTGCCAATGGAAACTGTCAATCGGCCTGGAGACTAGAAGCGCTCCCATTCTCATGTACTGAAACTGTATCCCTTGAAACTTCCCATGCTCGAATGTCCCAGCACCAATGCCACCTCAATTTTGGCAAGCTGAAAGCTTAAGCCATCAAAATGACCTGGTCTAATCCAATTCTCAAAGGAAATGTTTAACTCAAATCTCCTACAAGAAATCATCAAATCAATCCCAGAGCTGGCCAAGCTGCTGTTGGCCCTGCCAGCTGGTAAAAACCGCTGTTCCTGCCGGCACCCTGCAACGCAAAGGAATCATTGCGGATTTCAAATCTTGGCAATCAGCTCACATATGAGACTTCTCCCTTTTAAAGTTACTCACTCCGCGCCTGATCTGATTGCATCCAACTGTGCGCACTGAAGCTAGGCTGCCGTGTCAGCGCGCTGCGCCAGGGGATTGCTCCATGCTCACGGCAGAAATGGAAGTCGGAAGTCGGAAGCTGGTTTCATTTCAGTTTGTTGCTGACGTTCTATTGCCATAGATTCCTTTAAAAAAACCTTTTGGATTGAAGCTGCAAAACAGCTGCTGCATACTTTAAAGGTATCCAAGTCTGAATCACAAGCATTGAAACAAAGAGTCACATGGCAACTCTATGGATTGAAACTTGGGGCAGTGGCCGAGATGTAGCGAGGTCCAGCCCTCCAACCCCACTGAAGCGGCTCACCACAGGAATCTTTCCGGCCGGACGACAAAACATCAAAAAATGAGGGACCCTGTAAATGGAGGAGGTTGGAATTGGCAAGTTTCAAAGATGAAAAGCCTTGGTGGCAGCATCTGGAAACATCTTGAAGAAGGTCCTGCGGTCCACTGCATTAGGAACCAGCTTGGTCCAGTATCTCCAACTTCAGAAACCAAAAGTCATAGAAACGATGACAAAGGCTGGCACAAAAACCACCACAACACACCCAAGCACAAGGCCACCTGAAAACCATTCGGCTGCACTGAGGGAAAAGTACTTTCCTGGTTTCTGATTGAACTCCTGAACCTCTCGCTTGTAGCAGGTCGAATGACGGATCTGATTGGCCAGGTCCTGGCACTTGGAAATTTACAGTAAATGGTTGTCAGCTCTTGCAACAGGATGTTTTTTGAAAGACAGGAGCCACAGGAACCAGGAACAACACACTGCTATTTGAAGTTGCTTGAGCATACAAATGCCACTATTCATGCATTATACATACATATATCTGATATATGCTTGTTCTTTCAAAAAATCTCAACGGCATGCAATCTGAGGTTCTAGCAGAAATGGCTCTCTGACTCACATCTTTGCTCACGGCAGTTGTCGTTCCGGAGAAGCACCCTTAAATGGCAATTTGCAAATCGCAATCCACACGCAACAGATGCTTCAAAACTTGAGTCCAACTGTTTGCCCAAGGCTTGTGCTAATAGAAGTACATGACTTGAAGATCTTGCGACCGCTGAACACGGCAGCTCCCCTTCTCCAGCTTCGAGCGTGCGACCCCAGCGGACCGGCAATCAGTTCCGCAGCAAACTCAGCGGCTGTGTGGACAGAGGGGGCCCTGGCAACCTCAAGGTTCCAAGGTGAGCACTTCGGCAGCTGGAAACTCCGAATGTTCAAGGTTCTTCAGTCTTCCATCACTCACACTGGCAAACGGCGGCAAGACTTTGTCGTACATCTGGCGCAAGATGGCCTTCCCGGCCTTGACCTCAATGATGCGACCGCATGGAAATCTAAATCAACGAGCACCTCAAAAAAAATACTTTACTTCGTGTGATCCCCACCATGACATTTATACATGTTCTTACTGGCAAATCTTCTGGCATTCTATCTGACATATCTTCTGACATTCTATTTGGCATATCTTCTGGCATATGATCTGGCATATCTTCTGGCATATCTTCTGGCATTCTATCTGGCAAATCTTCTGGCATTCTATCTGGCATATCTTCTGGCACTCTATCTGACATATCTTCTGGCATTCTATCTGGCATATCTTCTGGCATATATTCTGACATATCTTCTGGCATTCTATCTGACATATCTTCTGGCATATATTCTGACATATCTTCTGGCATATCTTCTGGCATATCTTCTGGCATATCTATCTGGCATATCTTCTGGCATATTTTCTGGCATTCTATCTGGCAAATCTTCTGGCATTCTATCTGGCATATCTGGCATATTATCTGGCATTCTATCTGGCATATCTTCTGGCATATCTTCTGGCATATCTTCTGACATTCTTTCTGACATTCTTTCTAACTTTCTTCTGCACATTCTTTGTCCCATATCTTCCTACATGAGGTCCGGCAGGGAACACTTGGCATCGATACTCGCGGTTGAGGTCCGGCAGGGAACACTGGGCGTGGATGGTCGTGGTTGAGGTCCGGCAGGGACCACTGGGCGTGGATGGCCGTGGTTGAGGTCCGGCAGGGAACACTGGGCGTGGATGGTCGTGGTTGAGGTCCGGCAGCGAACACTGTGGATCGCGAGTCGCAGTTGAGCAGGAGGACGAGGAGGACAACGAGGACGACGAGGACAACGAGAGGACGACAAGGATGACAAGGAGGACGAGGAGGACGAGGAGGAGAGGAGGAGGAGGAGAGGAGGACGAGAGGAGGACGAGGCAGGAGGAGGAGGAGGAGGCAACTGACATAAAATCTAAAAACCCTCACCTGGCAGGTGGGGAAATAGAAACACCGAACAGGCCTTTGTTGCTGTCTTTCTCACCGCTTTTGCCTGCGAAAAAAATGCAGATATGAACATGAACTTAAAAACCGAGCAAGGTGGAGGTTCCACAAGGCCTTGCCAGCGAGTTTCTTCAACGCTGCACGCTTGCCCTGACAAGCAAAAAAAATAGTCCACCTAACCAAAACCAACAAAAACTACTGGCTCACCTTGGCCCCGACTTTCATAGGTGACTTCATCTCTGGCTCTGGGTCTGACCTCCGTACATTCCAAAATTTGAAATCAAATGTGAAAATCCCAAGCATTCACCTGTCAATTGCGGTCAAAATTCCCGAAAAAAAAGGCGAAGTCTCAGAAAGGTCTTTGATATCAGCGAACATGAGTCGCAGCCAGCTAATGACTCACAGTCAGCTAAAACGCAGGAGCAAAGCGGCTGCTGTCGGCCGCTCACCCGTTCCCAGTCCAGCGCCGCCCCACCACGGTCTGGAAGACTTCCAAAAGCAGAAAATGATTGGCTCTATCAGGAGATGTCTTATAACACTGACTAAGTCCTGAACCTATTTGCAACACGGGGATTATGGGTCTATGTCCCTGATCTTAAAATTAATATAAAAAGCTACCCTCTGGTAATTTAACATAGCTATGGAAAATCACAATTTTTAATTGGTAAATCCACTACAAATGGCCATTTTCAATAGCTATGTTAGTTTACCAGAGGGTATCTAGTATTGTTTGCTATTATGCCTATAACTTTTTCTTCTCAAGTCGCAAATGTCATCAAGGACGGCCAAGGTCATTCTTCCCTTGTAAATTTCCTCTTGGCTTGGGCCTTGCCAAGAGACCCCCCCAAGTCTGGGAATGCGGACGAACATGGCGCCACTTCCTGCGTTTTGGCTTCTATTTTTGGCACTTCCTGGGGTCTTTTGGGTGGACCCGCCCACGAAGGAAATTTGGCATTCTTACCCATTAAACTCAACGACGGCCACGTTCCGTTGGGAATCAAATGCAACTGGCTGTTGCTCACAACATCATACCGATCATACGAACATAAGTTGAAACGAGTCAGCTCCTTGGGCCCCTTCACTGCCACGAGGCAAGCGCGGCAAAAAGCACAAGAAAGTCACATCACAACAGCCGAAGAGCTGCATCCACCACAGCACCCAAGCGCTGAAACACCCATCGTTTTGAAACACCCATTCAAATGAAATTTCCTTTGATGATGATGATGATGATGATGATGATAATGGTGATGATGATGATGATGATGATGATGATGATGGATGAGGATGAGTATGTAACATACATGGACGTAGCCAAATGTAGCCTTGCTATAGTGCACCCAGAATATACAATAATACTATATAATACTATATATTATATAATTGTCTATAGTTCATCATTTAAGCAATGTCCAAAACTCCCTGTCATTGCATCAAGAACTGGTTGGTCACTAAGGATTCCCAGCTCATGGATTATGATAATCCCAAATGTATGGGGTAGTTTACTGTAATCCCCTATAATCGTCAACTGGGTAGCAATCCTGGCCTGACCGAACTGTTCCATGTGGCCTTTCAGTGCCTCAGAACGATCCATGTGGAGTACCCGTCCAATGAACTGGGGGCTCATCAATCCTGGGTTAAGATGATCTAAGACTGGTCGGTGGTTTCAACCCATCCGAAAAATATTGGTCAAGTAAAATTTCAATTTGAATAATCATCCGAAATAGGGTGGAACATAAACAATGATTGAACCCACCAACCAGAAAACTACCGTAGGTTACAATTTTTGCTACACCGATTTGAAGACTCCAAAGCGATGATCAACTGGTGAAACCCATACCCAAATTTTGCAGGAACGACCAACAAAATACAAACAATGTTGGGATTGGAATCCTCAATATCTTGTTGAATCATGTTGAAACATTTTTTCCTGAGAATCACAACTACTAACTACATATCCACCAAATTCCGATGAAAATCCAATGAACACCCCAAAACTCCAAGCTGCCAGTCGGTTGATCCCTGGCACCATGCCCTCTATGATCTGAATGCAGGTGCTCATGGTGAATCCCTGGCGGCAGGTGCTCGTGCTGGCCCCGAAAAGCGGTTTCAGTAGCAACGTCCGAGCCCTCGAACGAACCAAATACATCCAAATACTTTTGAGATCTTTTGGTATAAGGCTTCAGAATGTTCAGATTTGGTTCGTACTTCAGGTGAAAACATAGAAAACCAAAGTCTAATCGTGCCTTGGCCATCTATTGCACACTTATGCCTGATCGAATATGATCCAACCCAAGTCACACAACACGGGCCAGCGACATGCCTGCGAAGTCTTTCCAGGATCCTGATATCGATGTGATAGGTCCATGTGGGACCATCGGGTTGTCTGCCTCTTCATGCTTTACATTTGTATATCAATCCTTTGGATGTTGATGAACCTGCACAGGTCCACAGTTCATGGCCCTCTGCAGGAGTTGGTACGCAAAAACACCCGAGGATTCACTGGAATGTATCGCTGTCAAACGAACCTGACCAAATAGGAACATATGAAAACATATTGAAACAATGAAACGATGGCATGGCATGGCATGGCACGGTATGGCGACATGGGCGAAAACAGACAGAAGTGGCAAAGGTCCTGAACTCTCAAGTCATGTGACACTTTGGCAGGATGAAACCAGCCACCGTTGCAGTGGTACTTTGAGCCCAAACCGAAGGGAGATCACTGGCAATCGGCGTGCAATCGCCAGGGGTGACATCGTGCGATCCAAGGGATAAGGGCAACATAGCCAAAGAATCCCATCCAAATGAGCGTCAACTGGATTCCATACCCTGAAACTGTCCATGCTGTGCAGCACAATTTTGCACTCAGCCTTTGCTGGATTGCCGAAATTGTCTATGATCTATAACGACGGACTTACACTTCTTAGAACCCCGTATTCTAAGTATAATATACATCAAAGATCTGTCGCTTTTTAAATATACAGACAACCATAGTTCCTTGCAGAAACAAATATACATATATATATATATACTAAGAACCCCTAGGCCCTATACCTAAACATATCTGAAATAAATATGTATATGCATGAAAGAGTCCGGCGCTATATATATATATACACACATCCATGCCTCCTTGCAGAAACGTATGCTCGGAACCCCTAGGCCCTATACCTATACATATCTAAAAATAAGATCTTTATATACATGAAAGAGTCCGTCTCTATATATATTTAAATAAGTATAGACATCCATGCCTCCTTGCAGAAAAGTATGCCTAGAACCCCTAGGCCTGGGCCCTAAACCTATGCATATCTAAAATAATATGTATATAATATACATGAAAGAGTCCGACGCTATATATTGACATATTGACATCCACGCCAACTTGCAGAAACGTGTACTTAAAACCCCTAGGCCCTATATCTATATATATCTAAAACAAATATATGTATATATATATATATGAAAAAGTCCGTTGCTATATATTTATATATAGACATCCATGCGTCCTTGCACAAACGTATACTTAAACCCCTAGGTCATATACCTATACATACCCTCAAGAATACGGTGCATATAAACATGAAAGAGTACGTCGCTATATATTTATGTACAGTATACGCACCCATGCCTCCTTTCAGAACCGTAGACTTAGAAACCCTAGGCCCTATACTTACACAAAACATAATATGTATGTATACATGAAAGATTCCGTCGCTATCTTTTATAATATACACATCCATGCCTCCTTGCAGAAACGTAAATACTTTGAACCCCTAGGCCCTATACCTATACATATCTAAACAACATGTCGCAGTGGTGCATACCCACCCACCCGCCAAGAGGCAAAGGCACATCACGCCTTTTTTGATCGGTGGTGGATGCAGCGCCACAGCTGCAGTTATTTTCACTTCGACTTCACATCACCTGCTGCAGTTTTGTCATCGAAGGATACCAGCTGCGCCACGCTGATACCTCCTTTGACACCGTCGCGCGCCTCATATGATGCTTGACATTTCTTGCACTTCTTGGTACTCTACAGGAACTTTGGGGCCAAAGAAACTTTGACGTCCTTCTCGGCAAAATGCCAACCACTTTCCTGACGCGGTGTGATGTGCGCCCATGTCTTCCGGACGATACTGCCCAACATTGATCCGGACCTGGGGCTTTGGTTTGAATCTTGGGTGTGCCCAGAGGTTTGGGTTGGATCGCCTCCTGCATCTTTACCTCCTGAGTCCAGGTGCTTGGTGCTGGGGTTCCTGGACAAGGTGTTCCCAGGCATGGTGTCCTTGGCACAACATTGCCTTCCTGAAGGCTTGCCAATGATACCGTGAGCCCTGCATTCAGGGGGATGTCTTGAAGGGCTTCTTCAATGTACCTGAAGACTGCCGAAGACTTCCATCGTCCCAGTGTTCCAATTTCATGGATCGGGAGTCCTCTTCTAGCATACCACATAGTGTCTATTAATGGTTCCTTTTGCCCAAAAGTATTCAACAAAAAAAAGTAATCCCCGTAATGGTGTCTTTTACCGATAAAGCTTGGTATTTAGGTCACAACATCTACCAACACAAATCACCTGTTTTTCCCCAACAATTATTTGACTCACCCTACTATACATCTCCCGCTTTTTTCCCTTTGACATTTTACAAACCTTATCTATCTAGTTTTTTCTTTTGCTCCAATGCCACCAATCACATTACTCAATTTCTGCAAGTTGTCAGCACTGCTGCAAGATGCATGCAAAGACAAGCCAGAAACACCTTTTGCACCCATGGCGCGGAAGCAATTCATGCGAGTAAACATATGATTGAGTCAATGCCTGCCTTCACATATTGCAAAATTTGAGGAAAATAGATTGCTTACTAATTAAGTATAATTAAGCAATCTAGACATAAAGTCAGATTGCTTAATTAAGCACTCCAAAACGCGAAGAGGTGCTAAATGAAGATTGCTCAACTAAGCCATCTGGCTTAATTAAGCAATCCAGGAAGTTCTGGGTTGATAAGCCCCACGCCGCCGGCCACTGTGTCGCCAAGCGTTCAATATGTTTTCCATAAATCTCCAACGATGCGAGTGTAGCCACATTCAACATGAGGAGGGCTGTCTTCAGGACTCTCCATGCAGCTTAGGTGGACCAGGTAGGTCGCCCTGCAAGTATGTTCCGTCCCATAAGGGGGTGTACATGCGACATTTCTGTATTTTGGCCAGTTTCCGTTCATATGGTCCAAAGACCGCAAAATGCACGTATGGTGGAGCATTGTCCTTGAAAATCCGTTTGGCCAATGCTGCTAACTGGTTCGGGCTCGGCTCCTTTGACTCCTCTGGCATCGCTCCCATGACTGTGTAATAGTTCTGCAGCCACTTGTTTATCTCTGCAGTTGCAGGTGGCAGCAACTCCGAGTCATCACTCTATCTACCCTACCTTAGCTACCAGCTACCATTTCCATTTTTTCATACTTCCCCCTATTTCTCTCACATTCCCTTCAATTCCTTCCAAAGAACTTTCGGTGGGAATGATTGTGAAAGGGAAAGCATTCGGTGTTTATAGATTTTTTTCAGCTGGCAGCTGCTCACTTTGATTTTTGAGAAGTGCAGGGTATCTCCGATATATACCCCTAGAATAATTTCTCCCCTCGGGACATCCCAGGAAATAGTATTCAACCTGGCTCTTTCCTGTAGTCATTTTCCTAACCTTTCATATTTCCTCGTATTTCTCGCACATTCCCTTCTTTTCCCTCCAAAGAACTCTTTTTGGGAAGCGTTCGGTTTCGATAGGTTTTTCAATTTTTTCCAGTTTCTGGGCGAGCTGGATGGTTCTGGCAGCTGCTCGCTTTGATTTTTGCGAAGTGCAAGGTTTCCAATACCCCTGAAATCGCACGAAGTGGTATTCAACTTATCTCTCTTTGATATAGTGGTTTTCCTAGCCTTTCATGTTTTTCCCTCTTTCTCCCATATTCCCTTGCTTTCCCTCCAAAGAACTCTCGATGGGAAGCGTTCGGTTTTTTAGGTTTTTGAACACTTTTTTTTCCAGCTTCTGGGCGAATTGGGTGGTTCTGGGAGCTGCTCAAATTGGTTTTTGAGGAGTGCAGGGTATCTCCAATACCCCTAAAATAATTTCTCCGCTCGGGAAATCCCAGGAAATAGTATTCAACCTGGCTCTTTCCTGTAGAATTTTTCCTAACCTTTAAGATTTCTTCTTATTTCTCCCATATTCCCTTCATTTTGCTCCAAAGAATTCTTTTTTGGGAAGCGTTCGGCTTTGATAGTTTTCATGTTTTCCAGTTTCTGGGCGAGTTGGATGGTTCTGGCAGCTTCCCACTTTGATTTTTGAGGAATGCAGGGCATCTCCAGTATCCTTTGAATAATTTCTTAAAGAACGAGTTTGGTTTCGAGTTGCAAGTTTTGATGCGTTCTTGCTGCAACCAAAAAACTGAGGGGAGATTCTGACATGTTGAATTTATTTGTGTTGTAGGATTCGCAACGCATCAATCCTAAAATTACTTTACTTCGAGTGATCCCCACCCTGGCATTTCAAGTCATATATTCTGACATATATATTGATTTTTTACCTAACATTCTATCTGACATCTATTCTGATACAGTATTCTATCTGGCATATCTTCCAGCATTTTATCTGGTATATATTTCCGCGTTCTATCTGGCATATGTTCTGGCATTCTATGTGGCAGTCTTTCTCGCATATATTTTGGCATTCTATGTGGCATATATTCTGGCAGTCTATCTGGCATATATTCTGGCAGTCTTTCTGGCATATATTCTGGCATTCCATCTGGCCGCTGAGGTCCAGCAGTGCCCACTGAGCTCGGAAGGTCCCAGGTTGAGGTCCAGGGGTGCCCACTGGGCTCGGAAGGTCCCTGGTTGAGGTCCAGCGGTGCCCACTGCGCTCAGAACCTTGCGGTTGAGGTCCAGCCGTGCCCACTCAGATCGGAAGCCGGCAGTTGAGGTCCAGCAGTGCCCACTGCGCACGGAAGTTGGCGAAGAGATTGGCGAAGAGTTGGCAAGGAGGAAGTGGACGTGGAAGTGGAGGCAGAGGTGGTGGAGGAGAAGGAGGAGGACGAGGAGGACGAGGAGGAGAAGGAGGACGAGGAGAAGGAGAAGGACGAGGAGAAGGAGAAGGCGGAACAACTGTGATAAAATCTAACAACCCTCACCTGGCAGGTGGGAAAAAAGCAAAAAGCAACCTAAAAAAATAGTAAACCACTTTTGCAAGTCCAACATTGCGCAGGATTTCCTGATGATCTCTCTCTCTGTGATTCTCTTGAATTCTGCTGTGAGTAACCCCCCTTAAATCCCATTTCACACTGCGACTTCTGTTGTGAGCTGTGCTGCAATTGCACTTCTCGGGGCCACGCCATCGTAAACAATATCATAGAAAACCAAAATTATTTCGAAATATTTTTCCTGTCAGAGTGTTTACGTCAAACTTATTTTGATGGGGGTAACCCATGAAAATAATTTCCAACCAGAAATTATTTTGGTGATGGTTAGAATATAGAAATCTATACATCCAACATGTCAATCATGTTAGATTTTTGAAATTGTTTTGAAAAACATATTTTGGAGGGTAACACCCACCTGAAATAATTTCACTAAGGTAGGAGGGATATCACTCTGATCAATGAGTGATGACATCTTCAACACTTTCTCTTTCGCACTTGCCGTTGTGGAACTTGGTCTCAGAGGCCCTGCATTCGTAGGTTCCTGCCA